AAGGGGGTAACTAGGACAGGTCAGCCACTGGCTGTACCTTCTGTTCAACTCAATGTTTGGGTTGTTGTTGCCTGACATCTGAAATGTGTCTCCTGTGATGCTGCGTGAATTGTTTTAGTCACATGTCCCAAGGTGTGAATGCTGCAAATCTGCCTGGGATGACTCAAGGTTTCACCTGCAGGTGTTAGAAAGATTAAACCTGAGGCCACCTTCTATTTTAGAGTCTTTATTATTATTATTATTATTATTATTATTATTATTATTATTATTTATTTATTTATTTATTTATTTATTTATTTATTTATTTATTTATTTATTTAACACTAATGTTAAATGTATTAAATGTTAAACTAATGTTTTCCCTGTACAGAATGTGCACAACTTAAACCAAATAAATTAGAAGTCCAGTTTTCTTCTACTCAAGCTCTTAAAAAGAATGCTCTTTGTGTTTGCATTTGCACCAACTTACAAGGCAAGCTAAGGAACAGTTTGACACATCAGAGAATGATTATGGTCAGGTTTTCCCATTTCTACAGTCCTTAACCTCACCTACCCTCTACTTCTTGCCTCAGTCTAATCACACACAGGGCTGTAATTATAAAGACTCATTTTGAGGGAGTTAAAACCTGTGCACACCTTTGCACATCATGCACCTCAAACATTTTCAGCCACCCAACCCAAATCACGTCAGAAAAGCTGCACTCTAATAAGCCCATTGCTGGACTGCTTTCTGATCGGATGCAGGACAGGATAGCTTTGTCACAGATGTCTGAAAACACACCAATCCACATGTGTAGATACAAACAATCTACACTTATCTAGGTAGCTTAGATTTTTCCACTCACTGTCCTTAAATGTGTTATTCAGAAATCCCATGAATAATCAGAGTTGTAATCTTCATTTCAGTATGAATGTGGGAACCTTTTTAAGAATTCTGCAGACAGGACTTCACTTCAGAGAGGTTATGGAGTAAATGGGAGTTACACATGCAATATGAATGAAGTCATTTGGATGAAAAGACTTCAAAAAATTTAAATGACAGTCATTAAAATCAAATTGTACCAACTTGATGATTATAGTAATTCGTTCATTTTCAGATGTAGAAGAAGCATTATTCAGTGGCAGTGTCATTGATGATTGTGATTGAAACTGGAGGCTACACTCCACTTTAAGGCATATAATTGCAATTTTGGCAACCTGGTCATGCCTGGTAAAAGTTCTGGGTAACACTTTATTTGAAGGGGGTTGAATAAGACTGTCATAAACATGACATAACACCTGTCATGAACATGAATAAGCCTTCATGAATATTTATGACTGTTGTTATAAAACATCATTCGGTAAATTATGACACTTTTAATACAAAGTTGACATTATTCAAAATGTCTTTGTTATGACAACTTGACATTAACCAATAAATTATTACTGTTTAAACTTTACCTTTAATAACATAGTTACCTAATTTTTAAAGTGCAATCAGTAATACTTTTATAACAAATTTATATCAGTAATGATTTCTTGGTTAACGTCAAGTTGTCGTAACAAAGACATTTTGAATAATGTCAACTTTGTATTAAAAGTGTTATAATTTTCCGAATGACGCTTTATGACAACAGTCATAAATATTCATGAAGGCTTATTCATGTTCATGACAGGTGTTGCGTCAGTCTTATTCACCCCCCTTCAAATAAAGTGTTACCAAGTTCTGTCACAGAATATGGCACAACAGACTAAACTTCCCATGAACTGTGAAAGTTATGTATTCTACTGTTTTGTTGGACCATATATGGAATTTTAGACATCACAAATTTTAATGTATTTGAATGATTTTATGTAATTTTCTAGAACAAAATAAGGCACTTTGGTCATTATTCTTCAGAAAATAACTTAAAATGAATTAGACTGGATGGAAGGCATTTGGTGATTTTCAATGTGTTGTCACAAACTAAATTGGATGTAGGTCTAAACTGACAGAGCCTACTAATTAGGTGACATTTGAAGCCAGTTGTTACAATGGGTTTTGTCTTGGGTGATCAGAGTAAATGGGGATCAATATACAATATAGTCCACTGCACTGAACCCCATTGAAAACCTCTTGTTTATTCCATCAAATATTGATTTCTAAACTCTTCCTGAGTTAAAACATTAGTATTGTTGTTGCTAAATGAATATAAACTTATTTTCTTTGCATTATTTGAGATCTGAAAGAGCCGCATGTTTTTCCATTATTTTGACTATTTCTCATTTTCTGCAAGTAAATGCTAAATATGCATGTTGTCAGTAGTTATAATAAAATAACATTCATTTTACTCAAACATAGACCTATGTTTGAGTAAAATGTTACTATGTTTGTCCTATGTGGTACTTGTGTGGTCTATTGACTTAAATCCAAATATAAGGCATTAACACTGAGAGCCTTAGCATGACAAAATGTGAATAGGTTCAAGTGAAATTAAAGGATTGCAAGTTATATTTTAAAAACAAATGTGTTAAAAACATAACGTATATTTTTAATCAGAGTTGAATTCTTTTTCTGACATTTTTGGTAATAAATTGAGAAATGTATCACTCTGCTAAGTAAAAAAAAAAAAAAAAAGCACAGTTCTTGGTTACCTAAGCAACAATATCACACGACTGTTAGTATTTTGATAACTGTTTTGCCCTCTGTTGAGACTGATGTCTCCGATACACACCAGTGTGACCTTCTCTGTGTTCTGAGAGTCGCGTAAATGTTGGTGAGTAACATTTCCTTGAAGAAGTGAGATAACCTTTAGACTCTGAACCACAGGCAATACACATGACTAACTGCCATCAAGATTTTGCTCTTGTTAAAAAAACAACATACTTTTGGTGTCCTCTTTGTTGTTTGTTATCAAGTAATGTATAAAGCAGCATGATACAAATTATCAGAAAAAAGGATAGATATTTGACATCTCAGCTGCCACTTAGTGCCGTGAAGTTTTAGTTTGGTGGGTATTTATGTTTTATCTTCCTACCTCCATCACAAAATTAACTAATTTCCCTCTTTTAGAAAAATCGATATGCACTGAAACTCCTCCCCACCAGCATGATTCCCATATCCTTCATTAGCTTCAACCTTTAGAGTGACTTCATTTGAAAGCTTGTTTCAGCATCTCAGCTATAACCACTCAACCAGAATGTTTTTGTAACCGATGTAAACAAAAATACTGTATTACATAAAAAAAAATGAGTTAATGCTTCTTCCTACACGCCACAGTGAGGATAGAAGTCATGACTACTTTGAGAAGTTTGCCAAACCCTCCCACACGTCGTACTGCACCAGCTGACAGATTTACATCCACTCCAGAAAGTCTAGATCCTGTCTAAATATATTTGGGATAATGAATGGAAGGGTAAAATTAGATATCTTCCTGGTTTCTCCCACTGTTTGTTTGAGAATAAAGACAATCTGTAGCTAGAACATTGCAGAGACAGGTTTCTCTGTGTCTGCTTGCTCAGTTTGATCCAGACAATGACTCGTATTAATTTTCTTCGTAGAACTTAAATTCACAAAGATGGGTTCCTTTGTGTAAAACCGGTTTGTTCTCTCTCCATGACGAAAAGCCAAGTTTTAGTAGTTTTATTCTGCACAACACCATACTCTGCTTGACAAGGGAGAGCAGAAATATCTGCACATCCTCACCATAGAGACACAAAATGCAGCTATTACCATAGAACATGATGTCAATCTCACATGCAACCTTTTCATTCCACCCTGATTCTTACAGATAATGTAGAAAAATAACATCAAAGACCCATCCAGGTCCCCACCTCTCCACATTTTCTCTGTTGCTGGGAGAAAAAGAAACCAAATCTACACATGCAACAGGAAAATATGCTACAAATTATTGGTGACAGTAGATTTTAAAGTAATATCTCAAGAGAAGTTACGTCAATGTATTGAGCCATTAAGTGAGGGGATGCAGCCTTCTGCATGGGACCAGTCTATATTGCTCTGCTCTATTCTAGCAAATTCTCTTACTTGCTATACGGTGCTCTGCAGCATCTTTCTCAGCTTCTTCTCCAACCCACTCCCTCCCCCAACCAGTTTCCCTTTGCCCAGTAATAATCCAGCTCTGCAAAACACCCTGTGTGTTTTTTTTTTTTCCTCAGGCTTCTCAATGAATTATTAACAGCCATGCCCACAATGCACCCCAGTTTCTGTAAGAGGGTAAAAGGGGGGGAATAAATAAACGCAGCAAAATGCATTCAGAAAACTGGCTGCAGCTATGCACGACAGTCGCTGCTATAAATACCCCCACCCATGCATTCAAGCTTCACCCCCTCCCTCATTCTCTCCCTCTTTCCCAGTGAAAAGCGCATCAGCTAGGACAGCACTGCAGGGCCCCTCCGCTGGCTTGATGTGCACTTTTTTTCTTCTTCTTTTTTTATGCAAAGGGAGGGACACCAGTTATGTCATCGCTGCCACACCATTCGTGCTCGCTTGCTGATGCAACGCGAGTTGGTTGCTATTCATTGACTCCCGTTGCACTGTTTGTAGCACATGTGTGTGAGCTACTGCGGCTACAGAGCATGCTCATGTCGGGAGCCGTGCAGCACATACAGATGGGGACGGGAGACTGCCCACAACTGTACACTGTGACACCGTTTGAGCTGCATTTCTGCAACAAAAGCGCCTCACATGTCAACTAAACGCAACAACTAATCGCCTCATTTGAAAGCGTGAAGTCTAATAGAAGAGAGAATCTGAATGCTTAAATGTTTTGTTCGGAGTCGCTGTCCCTGGTGCTGAAGCGTTTTATACCGCGGACTAGAGAGCCCCGCGGCAGGAACAGCTGCAGAACTCGAAACTAACTTTTCAGGGGCTTTTGTGCCAGTAAATTCCCCCAAACACGGGCAAGAAACATGAACAAAAAAAATAAATAAATGGATTGAGATTAAGTCTAACAGATCGACGCTTTTATCGACTCTGCGCCGTCCCCGATGTTGCAGACCTCCAGCTAAATGCATTCACCTACCTTACACAGCTGAAAGTTTTCCGACACCAGCGTCTCCTGGACGTCGATTTCCTTGGGAGTTGGCGCCGCGGTGGGAGTCCCAGCCGCGCTGCCGCACGATGGGGACCCCATAGTCCCCCCCGGAGAGGAGGTGGTCAAACCGTCCAGCACCTTCCGAAACTTCTTCATTTTCACTCGGTCTGTCGAATGCTTTTTAAGTGAGTGAAACGGAGGATGCAAAAGGAAATCAGCTTCCTTTGTTTTCCCAGTGTTCACTTTGATGCAACAACCCTAATTCGTTTGACAGCAAAAGGGGGGAAAAAACGCGTCTCTTCCTGTGGAAGCAGGATGTACAGAGGGACCCCCCCTAACCCCCCTCTTTTTCTTAGGTGCAGTTCAAAAAGTCACAAATGCACCTCATCCTGAGCTTAATGTGTTGCCCATATAAAATGTTCCACTCTGATGGGATGATTTCAGCCAACGTTGCAGATGCAGGTCGTCTATCTCATCTCAGATTATGCACCAAAGGCCACTTAAACTACTCAACTTCATCTTCTCCCTGCTTCCTCTAGTAAGATCCACTCCTGAGCATGGAAACAAATCCCGCACTTCTGTTCCTTGATTTCATTAATTACAGAACAGAGCAGAGATTCTTTCATAAGAAGGCAGCTTTAACATAAGGAGGAAAAAAATCCAAAAAGAAAGAAAGAAAGAAAAACAACTTCGGTCAGGTCAGTCCACTCTCTTCCCTCCGTTTTTTTTTTTTTTTTTCCAAACAGCAACAACAACAACAACAACAACAACAAAACACACTTTCACAACACGGTAGCCGCCAGTAACAGGAGGAGAATGAGGAGCCAAAAGCCAGCAGACGCAGAGGCAATGCAGTTAAAGGAGGTTGGTCTTCTCAGTCAGGCCACAAAACGAGACAACTCAGGCATCAAGCAGAAGGAGGGGAGAGGAGGAAGCTTTACGTTCGCGCCGTGAACTCGTGGTTCATCTGCAGATCGATGTGAGTTTTTAACCTGATCCTGCCGCGTTTTGAGCGTCGCTTCGCTGCAGCCCACACACAAGTGGCGGGGATCTGTCGTGGTGCTGTGGGGAGGTGAGAGGGGGGGAGATAAAACTAAAATAACCAGCCAGCCCTGCGCCCCGCCCCACCTCTCCGTTTCTCCTCCCGCCTTCTCCTCAACGATTGGTTACAAAGCTCTAAATCAGAGAAACGGCATGATCAGGAGAAAGAGCCAAACCACAATAATGGAGTAATCCACTTCAACATATTACAGAAAACAAAGGTTAACTTGACACTCTTTCCATAAAGATACGAGGAGATCAGAAACCACCTCGTGTGGCTGGTGTGGAAAACCGAGGATTGCAGTTATCTTCGAGTAAATTTCTCCTAAGGATTGCTTCGTTTAACACATTTTACATTTTATTATGCAAATATTTACAATATTTATAATTTGTCTACATTAAGAGAGTAAAACAGTTACAACAATAATTTGCAACCGAGCCAATTCATGTCGATTCTCTTGGTGTAGCATTTTATTTTGAAGCCATGATGAACTACTGGTCTGGTCAAACAAAGCTAATGTTAATATTAACTAATATTAGGAGTTTTACGTATTTGATCCTTCCGAACTGCATAAAATTGTATAAAACAGTTAACCACTAGCACCAATGCCATCCGGATAAGTTATAGTTCTACTTTCAAATCACTTTTTTTTTCACATTTCACAAGAATCCATTTTAGGTTCAGGTCACAAAAAATAAGAAATCAATTTATTTTTTCATGAACTTTTAAAAAAATTTTTTTATGAAGACCCATAGCTCCAGCCACACCTGAAATAGTGCAGAACAGATAAAAATGATAAAAGAATATGTATAATTAAATGACAAACACCAAACACACAACAATTTAAAGAAATTATAAACTCAATGCAAAATATAATGGAACAAAACAGATATAATCAATACCACTAATAGCAGAGGAAAATCAATTCAAGGCCAATGAGCGAAAGTAGGTATTTGTCCAAAGTACAAATACCTACATACTTGCTAGCATAAAATGTATTTTAATTTGTCAAACCTTTAAAGTAATTCTGTGGTTATCTATGTAAACAAGTCAGCACACAAAATCATTTTATTTGTACAACAAAGAAAGCCTCTGTGTTGGGATGTGACCCATACTTGCCTATAAGGCCACAAAAGCTGAAGTTGCTTTAGCTATTTAAATTCATATAAATTTCGCTCCGTAGCTCCATCCAAAAGTAAGACAGAGAAGCTGCGTGACAGGATGCATCTGGGTTTATTCCTCTGTTAGCCTCTGCTGTACCTGCAAAGCCACAGCTGAACTCAGTGACTTCCTGCCAGCAGCAGGCTCCTGCACAGCAACTATAACATTCTGGAGTAAACACACAATTCAACACAATCTGAGTTTTGATGGTTAGAGCTGGACTGTTGAGATAATATTAAGTCTAAAACAAAGAAAGAGGTATACATATTATCAATAAAATTATTAAGTTATTCATAGTTCTTCAAAAAGTCACAAATGTCTCATTTCAAGGTATTTTTGTGCAACACTCAGATCTAATTATGCATATTGACTTTTTCCGTGCAGCTATCTGGCCACCTCGTTTTAAACCTGGCAGGTGTACTGCTGGAAAATAAATGCAGCTTCACGTTAGAGGTCACTTGGACGGCTTGTGTCCCCGTTTTTGAAAGATTTGTCTTCTCTGCAACATCAGAGTCTGAACCACATTTGTTTCACACCTTGCAAAAATGTCACGACTGTTAATATCAGCACTGCAGAGCCTATAGTATTTTAATAAAGCCGTATAATGGAAATATCAAGCAGGCTGTAGTTTTCATCTGATTGTGTGGAGCAGGAATTACTTCTTAAACCCTCATATCTGCTTCCCTCACACTTCCTTCTCACAGAATGTGAAAGTACATTATTCCACAGTTGATTATATATAAAAATATGTCTCACCTGATATTGTATTCTCTACGCAGTATAATTAAATACTCTCACTTAGGTCTAACATTAAATTCTAAATATTTCAGAGAACAGTATAAATTAGAACGATAATAGAATTAGATAAAAAGCCAATCAGCTGATGCAAAAACAAATGTCTCACATCTCATTTTTGAATGTAAATTTAAACCCACAATTATTAATACCCCTTACAGATTTAGGTCTTAAGTAATCTTGTAATAATGCCAACATGCTTCTTCTGACTGGAAGCAAAAATAATGTTTTAGAGTGAACCAGACAAATGCCTAACTTGAATGTGATGGAGAAAGTATGGACTGCGCTAAAGTTTAGGGTGATGAGAAGGAAGCTTTGCAACTTAAAAAAATGACCATTACTTCAGATAAATCAACAAAATACCATGCAAGGCATGCAGGAAAGCAAAGTTACATAAAGTGTTTAATTGCTGTAATGTCAATAAACACTTTTTGATTTGCTATTAAAGAATTCACAAATAGCTTATAATGTGTTTTATTAAATAGAAATTTAAAAACAGTTACCTGCCCAATTTCTTAAAAGAAAAAAGTCAAGCAAACTCAAGTTTTTAGTCAAAAACTGTGTGCTTAAAAAAATATTGAGGCGTTTTAATTATGGAAATTATGGAAAAAACACAATTAAATTAGTTTCAGTGTACTATACGACTCTAAAGCATTTACTGTGAGAGATTGCATCCATCCTAATATGCACTGGAGGACAAACAAAACATAAAGCATATTTACCTCACTTAGATGTTCAAGACCAGTGATGTTGCATAATAACTTACATCACCAGCCGCTGCCTCCTGGCCCTCCTTTATAATACCATGGTTGCTATTCTTTGTTCTCTAATTAAATAGAAAAACAGAAAAAAACTAAAGTAGCATTTTCTGCAGACTCTGCATATGTCACTGTAACCACAAAGACACTTCAGTTTCTGCTCTTCCTACCTCATGAAACTGATATGTAGGTGATGTTGGAAAAATCATTTACTTCTTGAACCATGTTACATGTACCATCAACACTTTAAATATTGGTTTTGATAAGTTTTACTACTTAAAGTATTTTGCAAAAAGAAAAATCATAATTAAACTTTAACATTATCTCATATCATATGCTCAATATGTAAAAAGAAAATTTGATTATTAAAATGAGAAAATTCTGAAAAGATGAGACGCTACATGAAGGAGTTTATGCTCAGTTTGTGCTACTCGTTTCGGAGCTGATGAATCTGCAGGTACAGAACAGGAGAGAGACATTCTCCCTTTTTCTGTCTATTGGAGATTTGCTATTGCATCTATTATGAGGTTGAGTCTTATTCAAATTGTATGCAACAGGGTAATATAATAAACCATGGCATTTAAGAAGACCTAGGTTTGATAGTGCACGATGTCTCAATACCACAAGCCCTTGTTCTTGGATCAATAAATGCTAATTATTTTATTGCTTAAGTATAATGTATTACCATGAGTAGGAAAGGTCAGAAAATAAACCAAATATTGCAGAAAGTACAAGTATTACTATATTGTGATAGTTTGAAACATGTCCAATTGAGACACTAGAATTCTGATTATCATGTTGCTTAGAGATGTTCCCACTGTGTCTGTCTGCAGCACAAGTGGATAATGTTCAGGACATTGCAACAATGTCATTTTGTGTGTTCGGTTCAAAGACGATAAGTACACAAACAAGCACCCACATACGGGTTTGTTTGGGGAGTTGCATGGTAATTAGGCCGCTTGCTGATCACAGGTCAGAAATAATCAACAGCCTTCGTCAAGATTTAAAAACACAAAGCAATTTTGTAATTTTTTTGGTGCGGGGGGTATTTTGTGTACTAAATCACATGTCTGCAACTGAAGCTTGCTGTGCTGATGTGATCTCTGTTTAAGATGGCAGTCACAAACAGCCTCATTACGCTGTGCTTTCCATTTTCAGCTTGATGTTTGGCTGCTATCAAGACCCATCAAAGGATGTCTTGAAACCCTTTAGGGTAATTATAGCTCACCATCCATTGAGGGGAAAAAGGAGCAACTCCGAACAATGATTATATGCTTGACTTCTCCATTACAGGGAATAATGCCCCTGTGTTCAGTCAGCCTCACCTCAGAGATGATTTGTCGAGGTTGATTAATTTTGAGAAGCAGGTGTAATTAAAAGTCTGTCCAAAAAAAGTCAGCTTAAACAGAAATTCTCAAAAACAAGCATGTGCACAAGTGCTGCAAGGTCAAAGATAGAATAAGGACAATTGACTGAGGTTAAGAATCACATTATAGCTTATGCTTGTATCTGGGAATAAATCATTCCGGCATAATTTCCTATTCTACCACAAAGTATTCTCAGTTTTAGGCAGACTTCGAGCGAAATTTCTGCTAGAGGTAAATCTGAACAGATGAAACTGTTTGTGACTAAAAACATTTGAAATAGTTTGTGACATAAAATGTGAGGCATTTGAAAAGAGAATTGTCCTAAATCAAAGTTAGTTTTGCGTCTCTTATTGAATTGGCCAGTTTGTTTTTAATAAGACTAATATGCTGACATTTAAATGTGTGTCACTTTTGAAGGTGTCAGAAGGTGAAGCCTAACCAGTAGGTCAGAAAATTAGATCAATCATAGCGAAGTCCTTAGCATTGAATCTGTACTTTTCTTCAGCATAAAGTCTGTCACAATCTTTGTCATCATTTTTAAGATGTCAGCAGTTAGTGGAAGAACTGAAACGAAACTTGGTAGAAAGTTACAAACATACCATCAGGCCTAAAATAGAAAGGTTTTTTTTTTTTTTTTTTTTTTTTTTAAAAAAAATCCCTTTTCATTTAAACAGAACTAATAAAAATAAAGTTGTGGGGCCAAGGTTTTTTTTC